AGCCCAAAGGCCAGACTGAGACCAGACATTTGGTGCTTCCCTGGCTGTATTTGTATAAGCATCCACAAATTCACCCCAGGTCTCCCATGTGGCAGACAAGGAGTACCTACCACTGAACCACAGGGGACTCCAGTCTTGTGGTACCCTGGTTGAGAATCACTGCTCTAAGGTGCTATCCTGCTCTTCTGTTTTTACTGAGTAATATTGTATGAATGTACAAAGAATGAAATCTAGGCTCCATCCTTGTCCAGGGTACTTTTGCCAGTGACTTAAAAAAACCCAGGATTTCACCTACAAATTATACTACCCTGAGGTAGCACAATGCCACCTACGGCGGTATTCTTGTTTCAGATTTGTTTTAATGATGAAATGTTGAAGGATTATGTTAATAAGTAGTGGTTTCAACACATTCTTCTTGTTCAGTACCCATTCCTGGATGTAAGGAGCAGGTCTACATGGAGCCTGGCCAGCTAAAGATGTGCCCCAAACAATTTTGGTTTTAAAGCATGTGGCACAGTTGCTGAGGCTGGCATACTTTTGCTGTGTTTCAAATGAAACCCAAAGGTGGCAAAGATGTCCAGATTTTAGAAGGGACTTCAGAGCAAACACAGTCAAACAAACCTATTTTCCTCTACATATTGTATAAAAAAGTTACAAAGATATCCTTTACCCTATAAAACAATTACTGTCCATAGTAATACCTCCATCACAGCCGTTGTGGGGCAGGGCAGCCCCTGGGGCTCTCACACTTTGGAGCCAGCTGTAGGTCCCCGCACACCTGGGCAGTGGGTGGGTGGGTGCCTGGCAGCACAACAGAGGGGAGGGTGCCAAGCACAGGCGGGAGTGGGGAGGAGTGGAGGGGAGGAGGCAAAACTGTGATGGAGGTATAATTATGAACGACTGTCACAACTGTACATGAATACAGAGTGTGCATGTTGTGTAGTAGGAGGAGGAGGTTGGGACAGCTGGTCTTATCCAGTCGGTAGGCATCCAGGAAAGTAGCTCAAGAATTTCAGTGTCCTTGAAGGAGCCCCCAGGCGGTCATTTGTGGAGGAGGACGAGCTAACACTTCTTTGGTGGGTTTTATTATTACTATTTTTTCCAAGTTCTGTTCTTGTAGGGGAAGAGAAGCAGGGTGCGCACCAGAGCCCCTGGCACAAATCTTCCTCTTCTCCTCTCCCAATCTGCATCCTTGGAGGTTTTTAAGATTCAGGCAGATAGTCTTGGCTGGGCGCTGGGATGACCTGGTTGGGGCTGATCCTGCGTTGAGCAGGGGGGTGGCCTAGATGTCCTGTGGCCCCTTCCAGCCCTACTTTTCTATGACTGTGATCTTCCCCCCCCCCTTTTCACTGCTGCCCCTTCATAGTGCAGAGGCTGGAGGGGCGGCTGGCTGCCAGAGCACGGTGGGGCTACGGACGCCAGAATCACATCCCTCTTGGGGCCTGGAAGCGCCGGCCTAGAGCCCTCTTCTAGGGCGGCTATCGCGGAGGCCAGTCTGGGTGCCCTCTGCCCTCGACTGACGTCTTTATGTCCTCTATTTTTCCCTTGAAGAACTAAAGGCGTCGGGTTTCGTATCAACAGAGGACAGAGTAGCAGAAACCCGGCCCCCCTCCGTGATGGCCCCCCTACTCTCCCCCCGCCCCCCAGCCGCCGA